TGTTGAACAGACCTATGTTTGTAAGGATTTTCACAATTCAACTTATCTAGATGCTGTGTTCTTTATTCAATCGTACTAAAATAGATCAAATGATAACACCAAGCAAATTGAAAGCATAGACAAACAGAGTTTGTGCACACGTTTCTGGTTCATTAGTGTTCTGGACTGTCGTAGTGCTACTACTACTACTTCAGAATAACTCCGAGTCTATATTTCAGCTGTCTAGTTCATGTAACAGCTTGTAGTCCACAATCAATTAGGAGTGCCCGGTCGATCATATCACGGGGACTTCAAACGGAATGCTAAGTTCAGTGATGGTTGCCATGCCCACGACTTCTTGAGTGTAGTTTGTACTGATTTCCTAATATGATATGGCATCAAAGGGCTTCCAAATTCCCATGTCCTTCCTTCCTGAGCATTGAATTCTGCAACTGCCTTACTGATTCTTGTCGACCACTCACATCAGGGTGGTAAAAGCGAAAGTGGCAGTGGCGGTGGTCATGCGATTCGCTCCACATTCACTTCCGTGCTTCAAGTTTTAAGGATTGAGGTTCGAATCCTCTAATTGGCATCTAAACTCGGTGGTGGACGGCTTCATTTTTCCTTATCCTATTACAACTTCGGCTCTCGAATCCTTAAGACGGGTTACTGCCCCCCCCCCCACAACTGAACAGTAAGAGTTCGTAATTGTAGGGTTCCCAGTTCTACCGCGTTTTTATTACACACATACACACTCGTGTGATGAACAGCTGACGAGGTGGACCACATAGTCACGAAAACCTGCTGTTCGGTGATGGAAACCGGTAACCTAAGCCCCGCTCGGGAGAGCAGAGCTGTATGCTACCGAGCGCGTCTCCAGGTCGCGGATAGGGGAACGGCCGTCATCTCACGGCTAACCGTGAATAAGGTGGCTCTCCGAATAAGCGGTCGCGGACAATCAGCGGCAGCACTCGAGGATGTGGTGGGTTTACCTCTTGGCAAGAGTACTCCGTACAAAACACCAGACATCTGTGGACAGTGCTGTGACGTGGCGAGTGTGGCCCGCCACTAAAGATGGCCATCGCCCCTTGTCGAAATCTATTGTTCGGTAAGGTTCCAGAAGAGGCGAATGAACCAAATACTGGCCACCGGCTCATCTAGAATATCGCTGATGCCTTGCAGTCCGCGCTTGATTGCGCAAAGGCTAGAGTGCGCCCTCGAACAAGGCCTACTCTGGACCGGGCGACCGAGTAGTATAACAGACCACAACGCCAACAACGATGACCTCTTCGACTTCTATGTGCATCCAGTCTACAATTTCTGCAACTAGAGACAAACACTCAACACCGTACACACACTCATGTCCCCCCCTTCCCACCTCCCAGCCCTACCCCATCCCACCTCCACCTCCTTTCTCGGGATCTTCAGACGATCGTGCAAACACTAGTGCTTTAGATGGAAACTCTGCCGCTGTTCCATCATGTCCTACCTCGACTACTGTCCAAATCTCACCGAATCCTCCCCCAGCTGAAGCCTTACTTCGCTCTCGATGTTCATTCAAACTAGCCACACTTAATGTGTGCACTCTGCTGCGTATAGAACAAAAGGCCGATTTAGCTCGTGCGCTCGAGACCCTAGCCATCGATGTGTGTTGTATCCAAGAGACTCGCATTCAAGACTCCGGCTCTATTATCCGATTGACGTCCCCATCAAACCCATCAGTGAAGTTTTACTTACGCCTCAATGGGGACCCTGAGGCTGCAGCTTCCGGTCTTGCGGGCGTTTGTGTGGCTCTCAGTGAGAGAGCTGAAGCCGCACTCCTGGACTGGTTCCCAGTCGACAGTAGGTTGTGCGCAGTGAAACTTAGAGGTTCGCGCAAATTAAACAGCCGTCGTCACGAGAGACGCATGTCCCGACGGACTGCAGCCCAGATGCAATCAAAGATGAATTTTATCATAACCTACACGACCTCTTGCATAACGCGAGTCGGGCTGATATCGTGACTTTAGCAAGAGATATGAATGTTAGAGTAGGTCGGCTGGCTTCGAGTGAGGTGCATCTGGGTGATCCTTTCAGACTAGATTCCTGTCGCTCGAAAAACGGGGAACGCCTGTTGGCTTTGTTGTAACCACCGCTTATTCCTCGCCAGTACGAACTCCAGACGATCCNACGATCCAACTGCCGGTACGCCACTTGGAGTCCGCCCTCCTCGACGCAGATCGACCACATCGCTATAAGCTACAAATGGCGGGGTTGTATACAAGAATACCGATCGTACTGGAGCACTCCCCTCGAATCCGACCACGCGTTAGTTTGCGCCAAGCTGTTCATTTGCTTCGGTGGGAGTTCCAAACGCATGACACATCGACGGTTAGACTGTGATAAGTTGTCTCAACCAGCACGCCTATCTGTCTTTCAGAACGCGCTAGCTGAAAAGCTAGAATCGACCCCACTCGATGACGTTAACCAGCACTGGTTGTTTATCAAGAATGCTCTGCATTCTGCTGGCTTAGTTAGTTGTGCTCTGACACGTCGCGCCGTGACACCCTGGATCTCTGAGGAATCTTTACGCCTTCCCGACGCACGCCGATCAATGCCGACCGGCAGCGAGCATAATCAAATACGACGAGCAACGAGTCGTAACCTCAACGTAAGCCTACGCAGAGACCGCGAGATCTGGTAGAGTCAACGCACGTTAGAGATGGAACGTGTTACCGCTATCGAAAACTCCCGTAAGCTGTTTCATCTCATCCGGGTCACCGGTAGGAAAGCCTTAGGTGTGAGTGAAACGATCTGCGAAGCTGAGGGTTCGCCCATTCACAATCAACAGCAACGTCTTGCGCGCTGGGCGGAGCACTTCAAAGCATAGTTTAGCTGGCCAGATCGGGTTAGGGCATATGGCCAGCTTTCGCCATCCTTCGCCGTCTCCAGTGGAGTTCGACAAGACTGCCCTATATCCCCATTCCTTTTCAACTTCGTCATAGAGGATGTCCTACAGAATGTTTTGTCTCCGAAACATTGCTCGTGTATGGTGGGAACATCAAGTGAGCAATGACGAAGTTCATCGTCGTGAGTTGAGTGCGAATAGTCGCTCTCCAACAGAAGAAATCGTTGTACACGGACTTCGATGACTTGGTCATGTTTTGCGTATGCCTGCCCATAGACTACCTTTCCGTGTTCTCTTTGCACGTGCCGAGCAAGGCTGGAAGAAGCGCCGCGGCGGTCAGACCATGACATGGCGTAGAGGTATGAAGAAACTAGCTTTAGCTTTAGCTTCAGTTGGTGCAACCCGCCTTCCAGGCTGGGGCCCAAGGGATGAGGATTCCGGATGGTTAGAGATGCTGTGAGATATGGCTCAGAATAGTTGTCAGTGGCGCGATTACTGTGCAGTTTGTTTGGTGAAACCCCGTTCCCCATAACAGACAAAAAAATCTCTCAAAAATTGTACGGTGAAACACAAAAAATTGTTATTCCATTCATTCGTAATCTTCTACTCTGACAGTTATGTCTCTTCCCCTATACTCTATATCCCAACCTCCCCCCCCCGCGTTATTGTTGTGGCGTTGGCACCACGCTTGTTCTCAAGCCGGTGTTATATATATGTATATATATAACTTTGACGTAAGCCCCGGGCCTTGGAGTGGTGAACCACATAAGGCCATGACGCTAAGCGAGGCGTGGTAGTGAACCGGACAACAGTAAAGCTATCACAATTACGAAACAAAAAACAACGGGACGTGCGTGCCATTGACCCAGACAGCTTGTTAAGTGAGAGAAAATACTCACATGGACCATCGAAAATATACGAATGCCCTATTGTCTCAATATGTAATAAAAACAGTAGCGAACAAGCTCGTTTCCGAGAATTCATTACGACTAACAAATTACGAGTAAGTTCTAATCAATAAAGGACACACACGGAATGTGTGGAGGAGGATTTCGATCAAACTGCTTACATCATTCACATCTTCATCCAGCTCCACATCGAACCCCATATCTGCTAATTCTTTTTGTGAGACCTGAACGTCCACCTTCTTTGGCACGAACACCTTGCCTCGAGTTTTCTTCTCATACGGTACAGCTTCCTCCCAATCTTTTTCTGCTTTAGCCTTTTCGATAAGGTACCTGAAATGAAAGAAAACAAAAAGTTAGACGGGAATAACAAACGACATGAGATTCTAAGGATATTAGGTTGGTAGTGGTATTGAATTACGTTATAACCAACCACAAAAAATGGTAGAAGTTCCGCATCATAAAGGATGCTTATGGGTTGTGTGGGTATTACTTCCCGGTTGTCTAGGCCGAAGAACGAGATTCTTCTTGACGTCCTCACTAGAGACCATTGACTGAAAATATTAAACCGGTTAGGTGACAGAACAGAGCTTAGATTCCGCATTCTACTGAGAGCCGGTGTTTAGTTCCTTGGGTTAGACATCCATTAGACGAGGTCAAACGTCTATGGTACCTCATGCAACGATAGCTAGTGAAATGGAAGTAGCGACTGCATCAGGGAATAGTCAAAGACTGTTCCAACTGATACGCAATACGGGAGGTCGGCGAACTACGGTTAGTGAAACAATCTGCGACAAAAGTGGGCAAGCTATTCACAATAGGG